TGAGGCAGGAGAATCATGAGGTCAAGGCCAGCCTGGACAACATAATGAGTACCCTGTCTCAAAAAAATAAAAGTCAAATAAAATAAAACAAATAGAGAATCTCAATAAATAAAAATTATAGAAAAGTACCAACTGGAAATTCTACAGGTGAAAAGCATAATAACTTCGATCCCCAGCCCTGAAAAAGAAAAAAGAAAAGAAAAGCATAAGCTGGGGATGGTAGTACATGCGTGTAATCCCAACTATTTGAGCAGTTGAAGGAAAGATCGTAAGCCCAAGGCCAGCCGGGGCAACCTAGCAAGACCCTATCTCAAAATAAAATAGCAAAGTGCTGGCGAAGTAGCTCAGTGGTAAAGCATTTGCCTAGCATGCTGGAGGCCCTGGATTGGATGGAAGAAACAGGAAAGGGGAATGGGAGAGGGAGAGAAGGGAGAGGGAGAGAAGGGAAAAGAAAGAAGGAATGAATGGAAGCATAAACTAAAGTGAAAAATTGACTAAAAGTGTACAGTAGCAGATTTAAGATGGTAAAATACATAAACACTAAAAAACACTTAAAAATATGAACTCAAATATATCACCAAAAACTATCCAACATGAAAAACAGGAAAAAAGACATGAAAATGAACACAGCCTACACAACATGTGAGACAAAGTCTATGGCAATATGTGTGAGAGGATTACCATAAAGGGAGGACAGGAAAGGATAAATATTTTAAGAAACAATGGGCAAAAGCCCCCAAATTTATGAAAAACTAAATTTTTCTCACATAAAGCACCCCCACAGGATAAATACAAAGAGAACCACATCTAAACAAATCACAAACTTCTGTAAGCCAAAAGACAGAGAAAATCTTAAAAGCACCAAATTGCGGGTGTGTGTGTGTGTGGGGTGGACAGGGACACACCAAAAAAACAATATGATGAATGGCTGTCTTATCAAAAACAATGAGAAGAAAAAAAAGCAGTGGAATGACATACCCAAGTGCTAAAAACTATTGGATGAAAGTCCAAAGAGCACATAAATCTTTAGAAACTGCCAAATGACATTTTAAAAAGGCTACAAGATAGTAGAATGAAATAGACATTATTATTGCTGTGTGTATATACGTGACTGCATGACCATGTGATTCTGCAACCTGTACACTCAAAAAAAATGAGAAATTATATCCCATCTGATTCAAATGTATGATATGTCAAGGTCATTGTACTGACATATGTAACTAGCAAAATTTTAAAAATTAGAATAGTTAAAAAAAGGCTAAAAGAGAGTATACTCTCTACTATATTATCATATTTGACATCAAATTCTTTAATTCTTAACTAATTTGAAATGTTAAAAAAAGAAAAGAGGAAAGGAACTTTTAAATTTAGAGCATCTCAGGTGTGTGTGTGTGTGTTTGTAGGTGGTGATTAAACTCAGGAGCATACTATTACTGAGTTATGTTTCTACCCATCTACCTTTCCCCCCCCCCCACCTTTCTGGAGATGAGATCTCACCACGTTGCCTAGCATAACCTTAAACTCAGGATCCTCCAGTCTCTGCCTCCTTAATCTTTGGGATTACAGGTGTTCTCCACTATGCCTGACTTACATTTATTTAAGCAGGATAGTTTTTGTTTAAGACAATTGAAATTTCTTTCATTGTGAACTGCTTATGTCTTTTACAAATGAAAAGACCCTCCTCCCATCTGTCTGTCTATCTATCCATCCACCCAGCCTTATCCTTCCTACCTACCTACTTATGTGGTACTAGGGACTGAACCCAGAAGCACTCTACCACTGAGATATGTCTCCAGCAACCCTCACTTTTTTGTGGTATGGGGAATGAACTCAGGGGCACCATACCATTGAACTCATTCCCTAACCCTCCCCCGTTTTTCTTTCTCTTTTTTTTCTTTTATTCTTGAGACACAGTTATGCTAAACTGTCCAGGTAGCCTTAACTTTTGATTCTCCTATCTGAGACTCTCAAGTTGCTGGAATTACATACACACACACCACAGTGCCCATTCTTTCTAATGATTTCTAAGAGCCACATTATACCAAGAAAATTTAGTCATACTTGTTTTATGTGTTTGATATATTTTGTCTACATCCCCACTAGTCTTCTCCCAGTTAGTATCTTATCCAGAAATCCATTATAAGAAGACAGATACAAAAGCTCCTCCAGATGAACGAAGAGGAAGGAGTCCTCCATCAGAGCTCCTAAAGTACCTTCAGGAAACTTATGGGTTCACTGTGTAAAATCTGATAAAACAAACAATTTGTGATTTGCTTAATCACTCTATCAGGAGAATGTCCTAAGAATACCTAAGTAAACTGTAMAAGTTATTAAACACAAATGGTGATAATATATTTATGGGCTCTAATCAATTTCTTTGGTTTACAAAAGTCTTCTAATTATCTAGATGATATAAGTGAATATGCAATCCACTAGGTATAAGTTTCCTCTCCAAAACCAGCCATACTTTACTTTTCATTCATGCCTGAAATCACTGCAATCTGCTTTCTACCGTCAACCTTCTCGTAAAGTTGCTTTGCTAAGAGGGAAACCAATGATCTCTTTTCAATGGTGTTCTTGATCATACCTCTATAGAAAGTAACATCATTACTGACTTCTTTTGCTGACAGTCTCTACTCCATTGGTTCCTCTATTATTGTCTAAATGAATAACCTGAGTGTCTTTCACTGATCCCCTCCCTCTCCCTCCTTATCACTTAAAATTTAACACTCTTAAGACTTTATCTTTTTTCATTCTACATTTTGCCCAAGAAAATGGCCCCCTCATTATTTCAACTGTTTACTTATTTGTTTACTGAATTCCAAACCTGAAGGGTACTAGGTTCTATCTAATGAATCAAATTTAAAAAGTGAAAATTCATATCCCATAACCAATCTGTCTTTAATTTCTGTTCCTTCTATTGGCTCCTCTCTAAAATCCCAACTCTCACACTATCACATTTAACCTATTCTATAATTACCCTCTAGCCAAGTCCCATTGCCCAAATGCTTATCCACTTTAAAGCATCCTCCACTATACAAAAGATGTTTTCATGAAAATGGAGATTAAGCCCAAGGGTGCTTCCAGTGAGTGACACATGCCCAGTCCTTTTTATTTTGAGGCAGGATCTAAGTTGCCCCAACTGGCCTTGAACTTGCCATCCTCCTGCCAAAGCTTCATAGTGGCTGGGATTTCAGGTGTATGCCACCACACCCAAAAACCGTATTTCTAAAATGCAAATCTTATCAGCCTTTACAACTATCTCTGGAACAAAAACAAAAAAAACTATCAAATGCCTCGTATCCTCATTTTAAATAACCTCTCACTCTGTGCCCTACTCACAGAAAAACTCTAAATAGAGAAGTTCCTAGTCTATTTTAAAAATACTGACTTCTTTAATCATCAATACTACCTCTGCTCCCTCAATCCTAATTTTTACCCCTTTTATGTTACTAACTAAATCAAGTAAGTCTCTCCTAAACTCTTCAGAGAGAATAATTTTTAAACGTTTCTATCTATGTCTGTATAGATATCTGTACATGTATACTTTTATATCTTTTGCTTAAAACTCTTTCACATTACAGTTTTTTGTTGTTGTTCCCTATACGTTATGTGCCAGCAAGTATGCTCCCCTAAATGTTTGGGGTATGGATAAAAGGATACACTGACCTATACTGGGTGAAATGTACAATGAAAAATGATGAATTGATGAAAGGATACAAAGATCAGACAGCATAAGGGGAGACAAGATAAAGTCAACAGGAAGAATGATGGTACTTCAAGATAATACATGATTTATTTTTGCTAGCCTAAAACGGTAATGAAAATAAGATTACTAAAAGAACAAGGATTAACACAGAGATGGTAACACCAGTAGATGTTTCAAATAAACCAAAGTACAATCAATGAGCTTTATAAACTGTGCTGGTCTACTCAATATATGTCTTTATTAGGTTAAGAAATTCATTTATTAAAGCAAATGGCTGCTTTTACTTTTATTACAATATACCTTTCTGTATAGATAATTATCCAGGATTAATTATACTATTCATTTGTAGATCATTAAAAGTCCTCAATCCCTCATTGTGGAATAAGTCAAGCAGGTTAACTTGAGGTTATAAAAACAGCACTGACTCAGGAATTAAGCAAGMTGGGAGGCTCCGAAACTCATTATGGCTCTTTCTCCAAGTTTCTTTCTCCCTTGAAAAGAGAATCTTTCACTAGGGAAGGTATTAGCTGACAGCCTTCAGCTGTAGAACCTTTGTGATCAGTAGAGTGTTCCATCCTGGGTAGTCCCGGCCAATGAATGAACACAAAGGTACCTGAGCCCTTACTTCTTACTGAGGCATTACTCTATGGGAAATTCTAAGTACTAGAGTCATCATAGTGGTGTCCTATCTGTCATCCTCACCCCCACCCACTCCTGACCCCCTGCTGGGTTGCCTCAGACTCTCACAGCCACATTGTATTCAGAATCTCTTCCTATTGCAGATATCTTTCTTCCTCTCTTCCTCAGACATCATATGTGCCTGGAGAGCTATCTGTTCCTTTTTCCCCCCTATTACAGCACAGATGTTATCCCAATGAGGCTTTTTCTTTCTTTTTTTTTTTTGGGGGGGGGGGTGAAGTGGGGGGGTGTGTAGGGATAATGTGTGTGGTGCTGGGGACAAACGCAGGGCCTCACACATGTTAGGCAAGAGCTCTACCACTGAGCTACATCCCCAGCCCCTAACTCTTTCATTTTTAACTCTATCTTAGCATCTCTTTCACAGAGGACCCCAACTGACAAACTGACATATCCTAATCTTCAATTCCAATATTTACCAAAAGTGATTGCATGTTTAACCAAGCTTAAGAAGTGTTTTAATAATACAAAGGAATATATAGAATGGAATTTCTCTTTGGACCTTTAAAGTTCACCTTCTTTGAGGTGCTGGAAGTGAATCTGGTTTAACCAACTAACCAATATTCAACATGCAAAATCTATCCAAAATACTTACATAACTGTGTTGTCATCCACTAAGATATCACAACCATGAGCAGGACACGAAATAGTCTGAAAAAGATTGAAATTTAAACTATGTCTTCATTCAACAAATATTTATTGAATGCTTACCACTGCCAGGCACTCTGCTAGGTCTAGGGACACTTCAATGTTTACAGGATTTCAATCCTTCCCTTTCTATTTAAATGAAATAAGTGCGTGTATGAGTTTATCACTATGAAGTAACAGAATTGCTGACCCAAGTGGTTCTGCAACAAAATATTAAAAGGTTAAAGTAAAATATCTGACAAAACTGTTTAAAAGTTCAGTTTGATATATTACCAACATTGATGCCTGCTGGAAAAACTTTGCCTAAGCCATTATGAAGTCAAATAACAATAAGTGCTGGCGAGGATGTGGGGAAAAGGGTACACTTGTACATTGCTGGTGGGACTGCAAATTGGTGAGGCCAATTTGGAAAGCAGTATGGAGATTCCTGGGAAAGCTGGGAATGGATCCACCATTTGACCCAGCTATCGCCCTWCTCGGACTATTCCCTGAGGATCTTAAAAGAGCGTACTATAGGGATACTGCCACATCAATGATCATAGCAGCACAATTCACAATAGCTAGACTGTGGAACCAACCTAGATGCCCTTCAACAGATGAATGGATAAAAAAAAAAAGGTGGCATTTATACACAATGGAGTATTACGCAGCAYTAAAAAATGACAAAATCATGGAATTTGCAGGGAAATGGATGGCATTAGAGCAGATTATGCTAAGCGAAGCTAGCCAATCCTTAAAAAACAAATGCCAAATGTCTTCTTTGATATAAAGAGAGCAACTRAGAACAGAACAGGGAGGAAGAGCATGAGGAAAAGATTAACATTAAACAGAGACGAGTGGGGGGAGAGAAAGGGAGAGAGAAGGGAAATCATATGGAAATGGTAGGAGACCCTCAATGTTACACAAAATTACATATAAGAGGTTGTGAGGGGAAGGGGGGGGGAAACAAGGGAGAGAACTGAACAACAGCAGATGAGGTAGAGAGGGAAGATGGGAGGGGAGGGGGGATAGTAGGGGATAGGAAAGGTAGCAGAATACAACAGTCACTAATATGCCGTTAYGTAAAAATGTGAATATGTAACCGATGTGATTCTGCAATTTGTATTTGGGGTAAAAATGGGAGTTCATAACCCACTTGAGTCAAATGTCTGAAAGATGATATGTCATGAGCTTTGTAATGTTTTGAACAACCAATAAAAAAAAAAAAAGAAAAGAAAAAGAAAAACTTTGCCTAATTTGGGGTCTTTAACTAAAATGTCCCATTGTAAAATGAAAAGGAACCTATTTTAAGTTGTTTTAATACAGAGAAATTTTGCTCATGCAATTCATAATCCAAAAAGTTTCACTAGCTGATATTTATACAAGGGTCTAAACTAAACACTACAAGAAATTCAATAAAAACTAAAAATCATTTTGGGATCTTTACCTGTCCCATGCCTTCCTCCATTATTTTGGTAGTTAAATATTCACTCCAGCACTGCATACAAAACTTATGTCCACATTCAAGGCCAGTGAAATACTGCAACAAAAATAAAACATGAACTTTTAAACAAAGACATTTTCAGAAAATTTTGTACACCTAGTGACTCAGTGCTCTTTTAAGTCACATTTCTCCCAGTGACTAAAATCTCCAATATAACAAGAATAGACAGTCTCCTAAAATGAAATTCTAGGTGATGAAATCTAGATATGCAAATACACAGAACAAAAAACACCTAAGAAACACATCTATGGTATATATTTGCAAAATTTTAAGAAAGGCAGGCAACAATAAGTTTGTATTAAATGTAAGATTATACCATATATTAATAAGCATTATGGAAATGTAAGCCAAATCACGAGACACCTCCTTACACTCACTAGGACAGCCATAATAAAAAAAGACAGATAACAACAAGAGTTTTAGGTAAGTATATGGAAAGAGTGGAACCCTCATGCCCTGTCAATAGGAATGTAAAATGGAGTGGCAATTTTAGGGAATAATCATGTAGTACCTCAAAATATTACACAAAGAGTTATCATATGACCCAGCAATTCTATTCCTAGGTATATAAAGCACAAAGAAATGAAAACACACATCCATACATACACAAGAATTCATGGTAACATCGTTCAAAATAGCTAAAAAGTATAAATAACCCAGAAATCTATCAAGTGACGGATGATAAACAAAATGTAGACAATCCATATAATGGAATATTATTTTGCCACAAAAAGGAATGAAGTACTGATACACGCTAAGACAGGGATGAACCTTGAAAACATATRCTAAATGAAAGACCATATATTGTTTGATTTCATTTATGTAAAAGATCCAGAATAAACAAACCCTTAAAAGGAAGCAGGTGAGCAGTTTCCTGAACCAGGGAATGAATACAAAAGGGTATAGAATTTCTTTGGGGTTAAAAATGATCTAAAATTAACCGCAATGGTTGCACAACTCTCAATACAATAAAAACCACTTTAAATGGGTGAACTGGATAGTACTGAATTATACAGCTCAATAAACATGTTATTTTAAAAGTGTCAATGGACAGAACTCCATGGAACTGCATGGGATGTAGCTAATCTAGAAAATAAAAATCTCATGGTAAATCAAAAGATCTATTTATTCCAAATTACTACAAATAACATTTTGCTGTAAAATTATTGACATGATTTGAAATGTTAATAACTTTAGACAGTTCAATGAAGTATATTGTGATCTGTAGTGGGTTATTAAACTATTTTAAATATAAATAATTATATTTTAAAAAATATTTACTACTAAATTCGTTTTAATTAATAATATAGGTTCATGGCCAAAAAAATTTTTAATGAGTGAGGCATGGTGGATTACACCTGTAGTCCCAGCTATAWGTGAACTAAGGCAGGAGGAATCATGTAAACACAAGTGTTAAGGGTTCTACTGCCCTATTAGGTCTTGGCAATAAGTATGAGAAGAAGTATGGCACCCTTGGATAGTACAATTCAGCATGTACAACATAGCAAGACAAAAATATTATTAACAACAACAACAATAATAATAATATTAATAACAATATTATTGTTAATAATAATATTGTTAATAATAGTAGTAGTAGTAATATTGTTATATAGTTATAAGATTGTGATGAAAAATGATTCTCCTTCATCCCCATCTCTGTCCTGTATCCTATACCTAGAATCAATTAGTTCCATTTCTTACACATTCTTCCAGAGATTTCTAATGTTCAAATACACACAGTGGAAGAAGGTAATAATCTCTTCTATGATGTTTATTTTTTATTAATTTAACAGATTTCTTATGTGGTTTCACATTGGTTTACCTCTTTTTTGTGTGTGTGGGGGGAGGTACTGGGGATTGAGCTCAGGGCACTCAACAACGGAACCACAACCTCATCCCTTTTTGTATTTTATTTAGAGACATGGTCTCAGTGAGTTGCTTAGCACCTCACTGTCGCTGAGGCTGGCTTTGAACTCGTGATCTTTCTGCCTCAGCTTCCTGAGCCACTGAATTACGGACGTGGGCCACCACGCCCAGATGCTTACCTCTGAAGAAAGTCTGAAGAAAGTSCCCCAATTTATTAAAACAGTCCATGATTAATGAACAGTTAATTAATGTACACTGTATATACATCTTTGTGATCATGTGACTACATCTTCATACAAATGTGTAAAAGTGACACTGTAACAGGTATACATTCACAATTTGATAAGATATTCCAAGGCTTTCCTGAAATAAGGCTGTAGTAATTTATACTATGCAGTTTCTCACACTTATGCCAACATAGTATATCATCCAATTTCTTGATCTTTACCAAACTAACATATAAAAAATGAACTAATTTCATTAATTTTGATTTTCAATTTAACATTTGAAAAAGAAAAGATTTAAGGCTGTGTATTTCTTTTTCTAGGTACTCTCTTCACATATTTTGCTTATTTTACACTGGAAGTTTTCCTAATCAATTTAGGGGGACTTTGTACTTACATAGGAAACTGGACACTAATAAATATGGAAAACATTTTCTCTCAGTTTCAATTCTGCTTCTTCATATTGTGTTGCCATGCAGAAGCACTTTACTTATATATAAGTGAAATGCATCAATGTTTAAATTTATGGTTCCTAAATTAACTCCGACATAAGAGGCTAGGAAGGAATTTAAGTTTCTCTCCCAGATGGCTACCAAGTTGTTCTAAAACCATTTACTGAATAATCTACCTATTGCCATACCTTCTCCATAATACACTATATTTTCATGCATATTTGATTTTATTTTGTTCCACTGCTTTGTCAATTCTTTGCATCTGGTAGTATTAGTCCTCTTCCTGCTTTCCCCTACCAACCTATTCTTTTTCAATATTTTTCAAACAAACACTCAAGTCAACTTTTTGTCTCTTGGTACTAAAAAATTTCTTCATCAGATGTTTCACATTTCGTCAAATTTATTCTGAGCCTATTTCTTTCTCTCTCTTACAGAAAGTATTTTTTATTCCAACATTATCTATTTAAAAATTATTTGAAATATAATACTTGATATAGTTCATAATATTAGATGCAAACAGGATAGAAAATTCTACATATGTATTTGGGCGCAGTGGTGCATGCCTGCAATTCCAGCTACCCAGGAGGCAGAGGCAGGAGGACCATAAGCTCAAGGCCAGCTGCAGCAAATTGGCAAGACTCTTTGACTCAAAATAAAAAAAGCTCAGTGTAGCTCAGTAGTAGAGCAGTTGCCTAGCACATGTGAGGCACTGGGTTTGATCCTCAACACCACATAAAAATAAGTAAATAAAAAGAAGGTAAAAAAAAAATAAAAATAAGAAGGACTGGAGATACAACTCAGGGGTAAAGTGCCCCGGACTCAATTCTAGGACCAGCAGTAAGGGGGGTCGGGCAACGAAGAAAAGAACATTATATATATAGTATATCAATTACATTTTTTAAACACACAGAAGTAGTCATGGAAGGAAATACACCAGACTCCTAAGAGACTGGTTTTACAGACAGAATGGCATGTGAAATACATGTCAAGTTTAAAAGAGTATAATCTCATTACTCTTCATTAGTGAAGGAGATTTGGTAAGAAATTGTTATTAGATCACTAAGGGAGAAATCTTTATTTTTCATGGCTATAAAAGGGGCATTCTGTAAGGGATAAATATATAAAATATTTCAACAACTTCAAAATATTTTACGCAGAAACATACACATGGCCATGTGCTTTATTCTTTTTTCAAATAAAAATTCTTAAAGCTAAGAGAATACTAGTTACAATTAACCAGTGATCACTGGAGAAATCCCAAACCTTGGTGAGTTCTAGTTTAGGTCCTACTATGAGAGAAGACAGTAAAGAAAGCCTTTTATTCTTTAAAGATTTCTTTTCAGTGACTTTTCTAATTAGAAAGATCACAAGATTAAACAAGATAAATTACAAAAATCACACACATGCATGTTTCAAGATAAAGAAACACCTAACCTAAATATAATGTGCAAGAAATACCTGGGTTATCCTCCATCTATGTGTCTTCTGTTGTTATTTCCCTTTCCCTTCTCCTTAAACATGTTTATGTTTGCTCCCTTACTACCTCATGCTTACCTCCTCTTAGCTCCCTGGGATTCCCCTTAAATTGGGACTAGATTACTGACTGAATCTAAGAAAAAGCTATAGCAGAAATTCATGTTTTTTTTAAAGCCTCTAAAACAACATTACACATTAAAAGGTTTCGCTTATCTCCACCACTTTATATACAACAACTAATACTAAACAGCAGTAAGAACAGTAACTCATTTTTCTTCTATCAGAAATTGTTCATATAATCTCTAAAACTGAAGTCATTTTGTTTACACAAATGAGCAAATAATCTCAGCATCAGCTCTATCATGATTATAATACAATGAGTTAAAAGGAAGATAAAGTTGGACCTGGATCAGATGTTTTCAAGCAGTATTCCCAAGACTGCCAAGATTACACAGGGGAGGATTGAAGTTTAGGAATGAAAGGGGTGAATTGCCCCTCACACTCTTCAACTCTGATTTTACCTATTTGWCCTATTTTATTCTTAGAAAATAAAACATTATTTACTTCATTAAAGTGAGATATTTCAGCCCCGGAATGCTGGGTTAGTACAATCACATCTTAACCTACTTTGATTCAAAACATTATTATAAAGCAACTGTTGCTGACGTTAGGAGACTTCTGAATTTGCTACAAGRGGGAATGAAGAGGATTTACACAGTGCTCCGAAGACTTGGGAAATTCCAATTAGAAACCACCTAGGACATTAATCTCAAAGTACAAAGATACAAAAAGCATTTATTTTAAAAAACCTGTTCTCATGTGGCACTGCATAATGCTAACACTGCTTTCTATAAGGATAAAGGAAGGTACTGAAGATACATGTGAATAAAAGAAAATCAGAGAGCAGTAGAAGTGAAACATGGGAGTTATATAATACTCATATACAAGTAATAAAGTGGTAAAGCTTCATGAAGAATTTCAGGTGATATTTACTTTCAAAACTGAAGAGGTTATAAGTATTCTTCTGTATTAGTCTAAACATTAGGAGAAAAGAAGTCCTAGTTTTGTCATGGTTATATTTTTCATAACTGCATAGTTTCCATAACTCTTTAACTTAATTGTCAACCCAAAGAATTTGCTGCTTTTGCTATCTTCTCTGCCACTTACTCAATTTAAAAAAAAAAGAAAGAAAGAAAAGAAAAACTTGGCTGGGGATGTGGCTCAAGCGGTAGCGCRCTCACCTGGCAATCCTCAGCACCACATACAAGCAAAGATGTTGTGYCCGCCAAAAACTAGAAAATAAATATTAAAAAATTCTCTCTCTAAAAAAAAAAAAAAGAAAAAAGAAAAAGAAAAAGAAAAACTACCTTTATTGCTTTTACTATCTTCTGTACCTTAAAGTTAATGACTCTTCAGCTGCAGTGTTTTCCCATCCTACCCACACTACTTAAAATAACTTTCCGGGGTCACTATAAACTCCTAATAAACTTCAAATCCACTTTTCTTTTGTCTAAAGCTTTTAGGCATTTSTTCATTATTGAAAAAAATTTCTCTTCCTTTGTTTCTGCACTGCTAATTTTCCTGCTTCACTTAACTACCTTGCCTTTTTAGGTTAGTTTATATGTCAATTTCTGTGGAAAGTACTACCTGATCAAAAACTGAATAAGGCTAGCACGTGCAAATCCCTGGGGTTCAATTCCTAGCACCAAAAACAATATCCTAAACAAACCCTAAATTTGGTTTCCATCTACCATGTTCCCAATAGTATCATATCATGTGTTTGTCCTGCTAAAGCACTTAACATTCTTTCTGAATGTAATAGTACTTATCTGCCCAGGTAACCTACAAATTATTTGAAAACAGGGATTATATATTTATTCCCCAGTATATTTCAAAATTTTAGAATAGCGTCTGGCATGATGAATGAATAGTAAAGTTTTCCATCAGTTACAGGTACAAAGCAGAAGTGTATAATAATCTCCAATTATGATTTTCAGTTCTTGTTTGTTGGATAATATCAAGGACACCGAGAAAATCGCAGTGGATATTTGTAAGCAACTAGTGCCGGTATTCAAATTAGAATTAAGATTTAAATGAAGGACAAACTAGCTATAATAAATCAGAAGGAAAAATGTCCAAGGACTAAGGAAAACTAACCTGGGACACATTATTCAGATCTTAGTCCTACCTCACAGAAACTTACAAACTGTAGGCACTACATAAATACCAACTGGAACAGATAACATGTTAAAGATAATAACACGGTTCAAATATGAATTTAATAATGTATTTTAATATCAACACTTGACTGTTTTATAAATACTCAAGTTAGGATTGTAATTTAAGTAGAGGGAAATGATAACAATTCTCAGGCAAGAAGAGATTTCAAAGAACATCTAAGTCAACTGATCTGACAGATAAGAACTGAAAAAAAGAACTGAAAACCAAAGACATTAATAATCTACTTGCTATCCACCCCAAAGCCAAATATTTGAAGCATTAGAACTATGATCAGAAGTTGAGAATTCAGAAACTAACTTCAGCCCTTTACTTTCTACATTATTATAACCTCACTCATCATTCTATTTCTCTAAGTTTTTAAAAACTTTTGTAGTCAGTTATATATTTGACCAAATTAGCGCCATTCCAGTAGATTTCTTTAGAGATACATATATAATTCTAAGATTAACATTGAAAATCCTTCAATGTTAAAATGGCAGTGCAAAATACCTGGTATAAAATAATTATTAGAAACAGCTGTTTACCTATTAATGCACAAATATCAACAAGATAGTTACAATTATAATAGCATTAAGTAATATCTTAAGACATATTGAAACGTCTTAAAAGCTGAATTCCAGGTAACTAAACACTTACTTATGTTATAAATAAAACTTTCCTATTGTTTCTAATAAAGTAATGCCTTCGTAAGGAAGATTATTTAAGACTACAATTTCTTACTGAACACACCAAGTAACCCATTTTTTTTCTTTTATCACATCATCAGTATTCATGATGATGTGATAAAAGAATGATGAGCATTCTTTAACAGTTTATTTTTTTGCATTTTTAAATTTTAATTTGTTATATATGACAGCAGAATGTATTACAATTCCAAATACACATATCACCAAGTAAACCATCTTAATGCAATTTTAAGACACATTCTTAGGAGAAACATCTATTGTTTAGTTTTGTTCGCTGTTCTTATTCGGTCCCCCTTGCCATACTTTTAAATTCTCCACCTGAATGGATTTAAGTGAAAATCTTTTCTTAGGAAAAATTCTGAAAGTTCCCCAGCAACAGTATTATAGACATTTTATATGGGTTCTGGATATTTCAAAAGCAGCTAAAGATTTTTAAATCTATTTTAATTTGGATAAAAAATAAGTTAACTCATTGTATAGCACACAATTTTCCCCATGGTGATAAAGTTAACTCTAGAAAGATTTAGGTATGTAGCATCAACTTAGACAAGTTGGTGCTTTTAAAACAAAGGTTTTATTATTGCTTTTCCTATCATTATCCTTAATATACTGAGAGGTTACTGGTTATATGTTACTTCTCCAAACCCCCCAGATTTCCCTTTGTTTAAATAATGAAAGTGATTTACTCTCTGAAATATAGAGTGCTAGCCTTAAACTACCAGATACTCACCGAGTTAGGGTAGTTCAAGTAGCAGATCTGACAAGGCATATCCTGTGCTGATGACCTTGTATTCATCTGGCGCGTTCGAGACTTTTTACTTGGATTAATTACATGACACTCAGCAAAGAGCTTCTCCAGGTTTCCATCAAAGTACCTGCATTATTTAAACAGAAAGGATGAAAGCCCAGCAATAGCATAATCAGAGCTCTCCAAACCTTGACTGTTTACTGGGAAAAGCAATAAAATGAAATAAACCAAAATCATAACTTTTTTTGCTCAGAGGATATAAAAGTAATATAACTACAATTACATCAAAGACGAGTGCGTGTGGACTGGGGATATAGCTCAGTTGGTAGAGTAATTGCCTCACATGAACAAGGCCATGAGTTCAATCCCCAGCACCACACACACACACACACACACAAAGTATGTGTATGTGAGAGAGCAAATCTGAGGTTTTACTGCCCCCTTTGGATACTGCCCCTACCCCCGCCCCTTGGATTTTTAAAAAAATGTGTTTCTGAAGTCCTGGGAATTAAAATTCCAATAAAAGCTACTGGAATGTTAACAGTATTACAATTAAAATTTAAGGATGAAAGCTGTGCTATCTCTAGCATTACGTGTGAAGACTAATGATATTTTTTTTAAAACTTAGCTCTGTTATAAAAATGAATTAATTTCATAAATAATTGAGGTTAAGCCACTTTAAATACATTAGCTTTAATAAATGACTTACAAAGCATATCTCACTACATAAATCATTTTTAAAATGAAATTATCATGTGTCTCATTCTGTACAACAGGCTTGCTCTCTATATTCTTTTGAACTACTTTTTTAATTTATTGAGAAAGGGAAGGAAGGAGGAAACAAAAGGGTATATCTTGATATTTTTTAAATTTTTTTTTTGGTTGTATATGGACTCAATACCTTTGTTTTATGTGGTGCTAGGATAGAACTCAGTGCTTCACACTTGCGAGGCAAGGGCTCTACCACTGAGCTACAACTCCAGCCCTTTCTTGACATTTTTATACAAAAGATTGCATACTAGCTTTTCATAAAATATGTACCTAAATATACAGAAGTTCTATATTTAAGATATCAAGAGTATATTATGCCCAGTACTATATAGTTTTAACTAAGTTATAAATTTCTTGACAGAAAACAGTGGTAAATAGCTAACAGAAAATCTTCCATTAACCTAGATGAGACACAGTTCCTGGTTCCTAAATATATCAATATTCTAAAGAGATAAACAACAGACAAAAATCTTTCAAACTGTGAATCAATAAAATCAGCCAAACTATTAATGCAGAATCTAGACAATCACTTTTTAGTTTTACCCAAGGTTTTGATAATTACAATGTGCTCTTGTGCATGCATACTCATATATATACATATATAGATATATATGCCTCAGAAGGCTGAGGCAGGAAGATGGGGAGTTTCGAGGCTTACCTTGGCAACTTAGTGAGAACCTGTCTCAAAACAGAAGATACAATAGAATGGGGATGAAATTCAGTGGTAAAGCAACCCTGGGTTAATTCCCCTACCACAGAAGTAAGAAAGAAGAGACACGCATTGTGTCAAAGCATTTAATGTATGGAAAGGAGTTATATTACTCTCCTAAGTCTAGTAAAACAAATTTTCAATCAAAATGCCAATACCTTATATAAAAGGGAAACACATAAAGTTGTTGCAAATTTATATCAAGTTGTCCCTTCATAATTTCAGATAATCGGAATGTAGCTACAGAAGAAAACTAACTTTTGTCTCTGAGAACACAAGATGCCTAATTTCAGAAAGCAGAAGAGACTAGCACTAAATATAAATTCATAAACCAATTAAACACTCTGTCTTATATTTAAAAAAAAAAAAAAAAACTCATGCTCACAAGAAAGAACAAACTTCTGTCCAAAATTTGACTACATAGAACCAAAGGCCCCTCATACTTTGGTTATCATTACAGATAGCATTTTATGAATACAGTCACACAGACGTTGTGTATAAGTTCATAAAAATAACAGCATACTCAGACATTTGTAACCTGCTTTCTTCACTAAACATGTAGTAAACATCTTAGTCAAGAAACATATATTCACGTTATTTTTCATTTTTGTATAATATTCAACTAAAGGTATTAAAATATAATTAATCAACCTTATTCTGAGGGACACTTAGATGTTCCACATATAGACATAATCTTAATAATCCACATAATCTTAAATTCTTGGCTCATTTGATAAGGGAGAAAATACCTAAACTTGTATTACTTCTTTCTTAGTGAAGATGAACACAACTCTTTTTAAAATAATTCTTCTTTTTTTTCCTTCAACTTTTTTAGTTGAACAACTTATTTATTTATTTTATGTGGTGCAAAAGATCAAACCCAGTGCCTCCCAGAGGCAAGGCAGATGCTCTACCACTGGGCTACAACTTCAGCCCCTGAAGATGAACATATATTACTTCCTGTTATTTTAAGTTCAGAATGTAAACAGGAGAAGTGACCCTAAATCTCAAGGTTTGCTTTCTTTCCACAGTTTCTAACCTGTCTTTCAATCATATTTAATGGATGTTTAATTACTGCTTTCAATTTTTTTTGAGAGAGAATTTTTTTAATATTTATTTTTTAGTTTTCGATGGACACAACACCTTTATTTTATTTTTATGTGGTGCTGAGGATGAAGCGTGCTACCGCTTGAGCCACATCCCCAGCCCATTTTCAATTTTTATGTAGGTAAATATATCAAGCAATCCCTGAATTTCACATCAGCCTTAAAAGACCTCTATAATACCCCAAGATTATTTGGAAAATTCACCGGTGATTTCAATTTTTCCTTTAAATGTTTCTATTATAATTGCTGATTCACTTGGAATTTATTTCTGTGTAATAAGGACTTAAAGTGAGATTCCACCCATTTTAATCCAAATAACTATTTACTGAAGGGTGGTTCATTGGTTCATCAGTATGGAACATGTTTTTCTACCTTTTGGTTTCAGCTAAACTTTGCTTTCTCAAGTCTTCTCTGACAGCTCATTAACCCCCAATCTGGTTAAGGTTCCTTTGTATTACATCCATTGCTAAGAACTTTGTACTGGCTTTGTAGCACTTACCACTGTATAACTCTATAATTGCTATTTATTTATTTTCCTAGATTGTATACCCCATGGGAACTATTTTATTATTGCTATAGCCCTAGTATCCAGAGGCAATGGGAGGAGAAGGGGAGTGGTGCTGAGGATTAAACCCAGAGCCTCATKCATAGTAAGCAGAATGAGCTCTACCACTGAGCTACAGCCCTAGCTATAGAAGCATCTTATTATATGTGCTCGTTTTCTTTCTTTTTTAAAAAATATTTAGTTATAAATGGACACGTTTACTTGTTTATCTTTTATGTGGTGCTGAGGATCAAACCCAGTGCTTCAAACGCACTAGGCAAGCACACTATCACCAAGCCCCATACCCAGCCCCTCATTTTCTTCAAGAGTAAATGAGGAATCTAAATCTCCTCACTGACCATAAATACTCTCTGTGCAATAATAAATTTCCATATTCAGGGCCGGGGATGTGGCTCAAGTGGTAGCGCGCTCGCCTGGCATGCGAGCGGCCCGGGTTCGATCCTCAGCACCACATACCAACAAAGATGTTGTGTCTGCCGAGAACTAAAAAATAAATATTAAAAAAAATTCTCTCTCTCTCTCACTCTCTCCCCTCTCTCACTCTCTCTTAAAAAAAAAATTCCACATTCAGTTAAATTTATTCTTGGACTCTTCAATCTATTCCATTCATTTGCCTATTCTTGTAGTTTCTGATAGAATTTTCATTGTTATTCATTTTATTTACTATCTCAAGGTAGTGTATAATTGAAATTTATAGATTTTTGATCCATTCTAGAAGCCACCAAAGAACTTTCAAATACTGTTTAGATCAACCGTGCAAGAAGCTAAAAATACACTCATATCCTTAGGCCAAGTATGCCAAAAATGTTTTTCTTTTATTAAAGTATCACTTACCAAAAAAATGTGACATTTAAATATTTTTTGTTTTGATTTGTATTTATTTTATGCTCCGATAAGAGCCYTAATCCCAAATGGTGAGTAGGAAGATACTGAAATCTAATTGTTTTACTAGTTGTTGACTTAATACTCTTAAGCCTATTATAAATTATAATACATGGATTGTCCATATGTTATACAATCCTCTTCTTTATCCTATAGTTTTAACTAGAATTCCTACAGCTTTTCCCAGATCTTTATAGTTTCATATAATTTTCTTTAATTACTTTCATATTACATAGGTTTTGTATAAAAAAAAATCTCCTCCATGATGTCTGCTGCAATCCATTGTACATTCAGTAGCATATTATTTAGTCTCCAGGTGTTGGAGTAGCTTTTATTTCTTATTTTATGGTTAATTTCTAATTTCATTCCATTATGATCTGATAGAATGCAGGGTAGTACCTCTATACTTTTTTATATTTGCTAAGAGTTGCTTTCTGGCATAATATATGGTCTATTTTAGAGAAGGATCCATGTGCTGCTGAGAAGAAAGTGTATTCTCTCATTGAAGGATGAAATATATGTCAGCTAAGTCTAAGTTATTGATTGTATTATTGAGTTCTATAATTTTTTTGTTGAGCTTTTGCTTGGAAGATCTCTCTAGTGATGAAAGAGATGTGTTAAAGTCAACCAAAATTATTGAGTTGTGGTCTATTTGACTCTTAAATTTGAGAAGAGTTTGATGAACATAGACACTCCATTGTTGGGGCATACAGGACTTGAAAACAGCATACTACAGGGACACAGCCAATCAATGTTTAGAGCAGCACAATTCACAATAGCTAAACTAGCCTAGATGTGCTTCAATAGATGTATGAATTTTTAAAAAGTGGCATATACACACAATGGAATATTACTCAGCAATAAAAGAGCAATAAATCATGGCATCTGCAAGGAAATGGATGGAGTTACAGAAGATAATGCTAAGTGAAGTTAGCCAATCCAAAAATGCTGAATGTTTTTGCTTGATATAAGGAGGCTGATTCATAGTGGGGTAGAGAGAGGGAGCATGGGAGGAATAGACAAACTATCTAGATAGGGCAGAGGGGTGGAAGGGGAAGGGAGGAGGCATGGGGTTAGAAATGATGATGGAATGT